TTCTGACAATCTTGGTCATAAAAAAGAGTAGTAGAAGTAAGTACAGACCTACACATATAGCAAGACATATGTTTTTAGTGGAGCAACCGCGTCAAAAATAATTTTGAGGTTCACTACAGCAAAAGCAACTGAAACTTGCCTTTTCATTGCCAGAAAACGTCAATTCGATCGAACTTTTACAGTTGTTCCTTCTGATAAGTTTGACACATCGAATATCATTCGAAACATTTTTGCATCCGAGTTTTGCGTATTTAAAGCTCAAAATTCACGGATTTGATGTGAGGCGGCGGCGCCTGCAAAATCGCCGTGGTCCCACGCGGCGCAAAAACCCAAAACGCGCGTTGTCGTCAACGTGTTAAAGCACGTCTCATGGAAAAAGCTGCGTCCCGCTTTCAAGCCTTTCCATACATTTATCAGTCTTTAATAATGTGCTAATAATATGTTGTAAACCCGCACAACTTGCACTTTAGAGAGCATTTTTATAGGCAACGATGAAAACGTTGAAAATTATACAATTGCTGCCCCTTTAGACGTAGCATTTTATTGCTGTTAGCAAGTTTCTCGCAACATCTCCATCACAGCATGCCATTGATGTAAAAGTTTTACCTTCCCTGGTTCTTCCGGTGAACTAGGCATCACTGAATATTTTTTTTTGAAAAAAAAATCGAGAAATCATTCGGGCCACCTTGTTCGGAAACGTCTAGCAACGATGGTAGCACTTGTCCAGTGTATGGTAATTCTATAAGAGTTACGGTTTCAGTTGCTCCCTTTCCCTCCGCGAGTGAAAGCCAGACTTTACGACTAATTCTATCAGCAGGACCAGTGAATCTTTTGTTGTCAAAGCTCTGAACATGTTATATATTACCGCCAAGGTCTTGGAAACTAACTTAGAACAGTGTTCATCAAAACAAAGATCGCTTCGAACGAGGAAGCCCAAGTCTCTGATAGCACTCACAACCTCTAGCTGAACAGCACCTATTGAATAAAGAGGAGTGACAACAACTTTGCCTAAATGAAGCACCTTAGTTTTTTCTTCAGAGATGGGAAGTTTCCATTGCTCAGCCCAAGTATAGACTGAGTCAATAGCTTTCTGCAACAGTTCCCGACCAGAGCTGTCTGAGATTGGGTGATATAATTTGAAATCATCCGCAAATGCAACACACTTTACCCCTTCTGCAGCAATCAAACGTGGAAGTTCATACGTAAAAATATTGAAGAGAATGGGGGATAACACCCCTCCTTGTGGGACTCCACTGAACACCTGCCTAGGCTCAGAGAAAGCATCATTCACTCGAACACAGTAATGCCTATCGCTAAGGAAAGCCTTGATCCATTCCACAATCCTAGGATGAATGCCGACGAGCGTGAGCTTGGTGATAAGTTTAGTGTGAGAGACTCTATCGAAGGCCTTAGCAAAATCCAAATATATAACATCCGCTCCCAAGCCATTATCTAGATAACATGTCCAGTCGTTCAACGCTTGGAGCATCGCAGTTACAGTCGATTTTCCCTTCTGAAAACCATGTTGATGTTCCGAGATAACGCCAAATTCATCTAAATGTCTCACAATCCTTTTCTTCAATAGTTTTTCAAATAGCCTAGCAAAAACCGATGTTATGCTTACTGGCCTGTAGTTACGAGGACATGTATGCGGTTCTTTTTTGGGAATTGGAGTTACGAAGGACACCTCCATCTCATGGGTAATTCGGCTCGCATGAAACTCAGATTAAAAAGGAATGCAAGCGGTCCCGCAATTATATGTGCCACCTTTTTGAGAAAATCAAGAGGAATATGGTCAGGTGCAATCGACCGTGATTTTGGCCAGCTAACCAACAGTTTGGAGAATTCATCGCTATGAAACCAGATAGAATCTTTCATAACAGGGAATACAGGAGTGACATCTGACTCCGCGATACCATCACTCTCTAGGTACACTTTATGGAACACAGCAGCAAAAAGTTCTGCTTTCTCCTTTTCACTGGTTATCACGACACCATTTTCATCGAGGAGGATCCCCAGTGCCTTTTTCTTGCCAAGCCTAGTACTGAGAAATCTATACAGATTATTTTTATTCCTAGAATTGATAATTTTCTTTTCAACTTGACTACGGAATTTATGCAGTCGTTTCTCAAATAT